AAAAAAAAGAGATCAGTCGACACGCAGATAATCGTAGTAGTGTTGATCAAGTTCAGACCTCCAAATATTCCGCAGTATCATTAATGACACCTTTGTATGAACTTCTTTGTTATAAAAAGGTCACATGATATTGCACCGAGGGATAAAGAGACCGTAAGAACTTATTATAGTTCCCAACGTCGCTTACCGTTTGCTTATCGTTCGAGAAAGAAAGACTTCTTTCGGGTAAAGAATTACCATTCTCTTTCGGTGTTATATCAGTAATGTATTTTGTAACAATTCATTTTTCACATAAAATATCGTAGTAGTACGAGCAGAGACATACAGATTTACATATTGCGGGATACTCGGGTATCCACTGAGCACCCAATGTAACGTCCGTTGGAGATCTGCGTGGGCTTCGTTAGGATCGGGCGGCAAAAGAGCAAGGGAAAAATTTCTTTTTCTTTTTCTTTTTTTTTTTTTTCTTTTCTTTCGAGCTATCGTCAAACTGCACTTTTCGACGAGCATCTATCACCCTTCCTTATCCCGCGATATTTCGTAGGAGCGATGAATATTCGAGAAGTACATTCGTTAATTCAGATACAGAACACATCTCGACTGCCCGAGCGATCGCGACCCGATCGACGACAGGAGCTGGCAGAGCTGGGATCCGCGATACGGATCAGGCCGATCGTTCGAACGCACACGTAGATACACCATTACGTTTAATTAATAGGTAGAATAATAGAGGTTCGAAGCGATTAAAAAATATGTCGGAGGCCGGCACAAATCCCGGCCCAAGCTCTCTTACTCGCTTACTTAACTCTCGGATTTTGTTCTTTTTTTCTTTTTTGCTTTGTTTAATTCGACACGTTCAACAGCGAATCCACACTTTTATATATCTGTATAATATATATTTATACTTAATAGTAAAGTCCTTAATATAGAGCGATCAATTTACAATCAGTTAGTTAATTTGATTAATCGAAGAGTCAATTAATTAGTAGTGCGGTTGGATGTGCCGGTCGCACCGACCGGCCAGAGTTATGTGTATATTAATCCTCATCTTTTCGATTGCGAATCGATGAATGTTGTTGCGCGACTAACACACCGATGACATCTATTATTCTTGGCCGCCGTCCGGAATCGGATTGGATTTCTGAAAAACATCTACTACAATAAACTTCGATCGTATGTACTCGTGACTCGCGATCGTGTCTGTATGTTTATATGTATGCGTGTTTGTGTGTGTGTGTGTGTGTGTGTGTGTGTGTGTGTGTGTGCGTGCGCGCGCGCGCGTGTGTGTGTATGCTGTGTACAGATATTATATAATTTATGTCTGTATGTGTGTATGTTGAGGCCGATGATGGAACGAAAGAAACATCTATAATATAGACATCAGTTATTATATCAACGATTCTCATCTATACCCTGTGCATCATCTTAAATGTTTCGACACATCCTAGGTGATTTCACCCGAGATAAATGTTGCTCGCTTATCCTTACATATATAATATATTTATAGTTTATATTTATATAATATCTATATATATATTTATATATTTATATATTTATATCTGTATATATATTTATAATCATGCCAGATGCGTCACTTTACAGCGTCGGTCAGCGACAAAGGAGGATGCCGATTAATGCCAGCTATATTTATTACGACTGCATGTAAGTGTATGCATGTGTGTTTGTTTTGTGTGTGTGTGTGTGTGTGTGTGTGTGTGTGTGTGTGTGTGTGTGGAGTGCGCGTGAGTGCGTGTGTCCGTTTTCATATAATCGTGTATTAATATATAGTGACTTTCGGCAAAATGCGAAACGCATAACAGAATATAATTAACGAGACAACGTAACGCGACTATGTTAATAACGACGTAACTCCACAGCGATATCGAGTTGTAACGATAAATAATAGCCAGAGTTGCAACGAGAAAACGGCGATGGCTGTTGCGGGCGCGAGGTACGAAAGTGGATGGCGCGGTGATGATAAAACAATTAAAGTACACACGAATAGTCTCTTCCTTCTTCTGCCTCTCACGTTTTGGGCTCATGCATCTTCTTACGTTAAGTAAGCTTGGAATCCGGTCGCGCGGGCGGTCTCTCTTGAACCAAGGTTCAAGTTATAATTCGGTCGATCGTCAGCGAATTCCGTCCCGCGCGCGAGTTGCAAGGCCGGTTCTATTAACATCGATTAACATCAACCTTAGTTTAATCGATTTTCTGTCTCCCTTTAGTCTCTTCATTTTCCGAGAAGGAGATAAACAAGTTATTTCTCATTTCTAATTAAATGACGCTGATCAAACGTCGCGCGAATAAACATATATAAAATTTAGAATTTTTAACGCAAAAAATATCCGAAAAAGTATCTCGAAATATTAAATGGAAATGACATGCAGCACTTGAATTAGCATAACGTTTAAGTTACATCTACAATTCAACGGATTCTTTTATGCAAAATTGAGTTTATCCGATTGCGGAAGGAAACGAATACAAAGGAAACTTTATAATCGCGTGATATTTTTATATAACATTTTTTACACTTTCCTTCTGAATGTTGCGTTCGAGAAACAGTTCTTTTTTCCCCGGATAAGGATTAAACTATGGTTAAATTTGACCAACATTGACAAAAGTGGTCGTGCCACGATTGAAGATGCACCGACGCAATCGGACTTGATTTTTTTTTCTTGCTATGTGCAGTAACCTTAACGATACAATGACGATAACGATTAATATCTACTCTGTTAAAAAAAGCTCACGTGCTGCGAGCGCGAGAGTGACGCGCAGCGCGCAATTTGTGGTAACATTTTTCACGCTCATCTCTCGTTAGAGCACGATGAGAAGATGTGATTTTTCGGTGAAAAATAACAAAAATGGAAATTGGAAAATTATTTAATCTGTAACACTCTGTGCGTGACAAGAAAAAGAATAAACGAAACAAATGATAGCGTATCTTTTATTCGGGCTAAGAAACATCCGACCGCGCTGATAATGGTCGATGCAGATTCGCACGTTCAGAAACGATGATGCTCTGAACGCAAGGAAATCGATTGATCGCGTTCTTATTTTGTTGCTGTATGATAACGAACACGGACTCGTAGAAACGTGAGAGGGTACGTAAAATCGTAATTTCACAACCGAGCTTTGTAATTTTTTGATGGGTCAACAATTATTTACGTGCGTCCCTTCTATCACTTTTACTTAGACTAATTTGCTATATTAGCAACGATACCTCATTATGGCACAACCGAGCGAACTACAGAGTTCCTCGTGAACTTGAAACTTTCAATTCGATTAAGCTCGGCTCGGTGCACGATCGAAATGAGAACGATTGCTCATCGAGAGGAGATGACTCCTTAGTTACAAGTTTATAAAAGATAAATCTTTTGGCGGATTTCTCTTCTTCCGTCAAAATAATCATTTCTTCGATCATTTCTGTGTCAAAAGCTGAATGGTGAAAAAATTGTAATTGTAAATATCGCTTCTAACAAATAATATATTACGTGCGTCCTATCACGTAAAGTTGTAAAATGAAGCAAATCGTCGATTTTTTAGAGAAAGCAATTAATAAGATAGTAATTCTGATGACATGAAATTGTATCGTCATATAAAGTGCAGCATTTGACGTGTTAATTAATCAAATACGCAACACATTAATAACATTACAATAGGCTGATGGTATTAAGAAGACGCAATGAGATACATAAACGATAAGTAAATGATCTATGCTATTATTCTAATCGTACAATTGTAGCGCGTTTTTTTTGTCGTAACGAAACCGATATAAATTCGATCAACTCCATTTCTGATGGACACGAAAAAGTCATTTTTTATATTATCACAAAAATCTTATTGCACTCTCATTATTCTCAATAAATAATATTATACTTTATAATGTTGTTTTTGTAATATAAAATATATAATATCATAAACAATATATTATATATATATATATATATATTTATATATATATAAATATATATAAATAATATATAATTGTTAATATATAATATTATATATTTTACATAAAATGATAACATCACAATATCGTTGATAAAAAAGAGAAATTTTAAGTAAAAAATCAATCAATGTATAATAACTATTGCACAATAAGTATTATATAATAATCATTGATTAAAATAAATTAATTAATAAATTCTATTTCTAATAAATTCTATTATTTCCTGTGCATTGAGAATTTGAATTCATCGAAATTATACTTGTTTCGATATAATCGGTAATATTTTCGGACTTCGTGTTTTACTTTATGACGCGTCGTTTCTTATTGACTTTCGAAGATAACAATTTGCAATTACAAATTAGGATATATACCCATCTATATACCCCATTTGCAATATTGAATGCCCTTCGAAATATGAAAGAGTTTACAGAAACATGGTTTCGGTTAAAGCTCGTAGATATGCTCGTAGCAATCAGTGTGATCGATATTTCCTGATCGATGTCGGAAAGAAGAATAGTGTAATTACATGTTTGTCCGACCTTGGCTACGTCGGCCGAATTCGTAATCCGTGGTCTGTTCGGTATTAAGGTCATTTATCGTTATGGTTATCAGAATGCGTGCCCGTGTAAGTATACTTTAGCGATCGGATCGGTACAGAACGCGATCGGCGAACCTGATCTACCCTTACAATTCTTGTTCGTTGCGTGCGCTAGTCGCGTTTCAGTGGAGTGGTTTTCCCGTTCCCGAGCCGCGCGCCCGTAATTACTCATGGCGTAATCACATATCGAGAGCGTGATAAAAAAAAATAGAGTACGAGAGAGATGTGGCGACGAAGTACGTAGAAGCGGAATGCAGGGAGAAAGAGTGGAGAGATATTGAAATGAAAGACCGACAGTTGCATAGGCTGCCCCAAAATTGACGCAATATAGACAATACAATATGTATGCCTCGAATTCCTGGCGAAAATAAAGCACAAGAGAAAAAGGAACGTAAAAATCGAACGTAAAAATAGTGACACAAACGTAAACAAACGATTTAAGGAACGTAAATTGAAATAATAGAATGCAAAAGAAGCGTAAAGCATTTTAATGCTTCTCTTACATTATTTCAATCTCCTTAGAATATATTTGCTTACGCTTCTATCTTTCCCTTTACATTCGACTTGCATTCTTTTTTGTCTTACGCTTCATTTTTACTAGGGATGGCATCTTCATTTTCGCACAATGTTTCAAATCTCGATTTCAATATCTTAGGAACTAAGCTTCAGATTCTTAAAGTAGTATCCATCTGAAACAAAATGCATTAGATATACTATCTAATAATAATTCGGATAATAGTTCATTATTGCTATCAAAGTCTCGATGTTATCTTGGTGAGAGGAAAAATGTGTATATCCATTTTTCGCCAATTCTGGGGTGCTTTGTACATAGAACTGGCTTGAGCAAAGGTGAGTGAAAAAGAGGAAATAGAGTATCGTGCGGCAAATGGATCGACAAAGAGCGAAAGATTGCTCGCAGATTGGAGATAGCATCTCGCGGAGAGTGATTTCGCGGAGAGAGTGATTTAAAGAGAGAAAATGACAAGGATGAAGGAACGGCGATTCGGGGGGGACGACGCGCGACGGTGCGACCCCGACACGTTGAGAGCCGTGTCTTAAAAGACGTGTGTAAAAATACGTAGAAAAGATAAACGCGGCGGATACGTGCGTCGCTCGCGCGCGCGCACAGGAGGCGATCGGCGGCAGGCGAAGGTGAGGTTGGTGAGGATGGGATGGGATGGAGATGGAGATGGAGAGAGAAAGAGATAGGATCATCGGGGGCTAGTGGTGGGTCGGCGAACGGTATCTCACATCGATTATCATACACCGTCATAGGAGAGGTCAACCGGTGGTCTGTGGTGCGACGGTGCGAGGTAGGACGGCGGCGAGGTGGTGCTGCTGGACGCCGCGCCAGCCGTGCCGACGTAGCCGGGGTAATTGGCGCTGGGCGCGTGTATGCCCGTCGGTGGCGCTGGATAAGCATCGAACGAGCTTGAGTACGAGCCGTTGTACGGATACGGATTGCCCGCCATCGGGTGACCGAGGGCGGCGGATGGATGCATGCTACTCATGCCGCTCATCCCACCGATTCCGTATGTACGCTGCATCAAGCTTGTCTCGAGGCCTCCGAACAGATATCCATTGGTCGAGCCCATCGGTACCGGATAGTGCCCGGTTATGATGTTGGGGTAAGAGTTGCTGGGGTGTCCGTGATTCATGCTAGGGGTGTAGTTACTGGACGCGAGATTTTCCACCGTATAGGACTTGCTGTGCTGTTGCTGTTGTTGCTGCTGCTGCTGCTGTTGATGTTGTGGCTGCTGCTGCTGCTGTTGCTGAGAGTCTTGATGATGACGACTGTTCATACCGTATAAACCTCCATAGCCAGCGTCGGTGGGAGAGTGGTGTAGCGAGGAGGGATAGATTCCACTACCCGGCGGCAACGGTGGACTGTAATTGGCCATTCCAGCTGGTCCAGCCGGCATGCCGCCGAAACCGGACATGTAGGACTGATGGTGGGCGTCCATCTTCTCTGCCAAGCTATCATCGCCCGGCATACCCGGATGCGCATGTTGCAAGCGCTGATTACCGCCATCGGCTATGCTCGGGATCTGGTCCACGAGGGATTCTAGGTCGCTCAGACTCTTAGACGCCACGTCCTGACCGGAATTCCTCTTGATGCCATATTGTTCGTGCGGATGGTGCGGCGACATGGACGTATGAGTGGGCGTGTGTGGATGCGGTGGCGTTGGATGCGAATGATGAGAATGGTCCTCGGCGGTCTGGCTGAGAGGCGTCGATGTCGTCTGATGCGGATGCGGATTATGCGCGTCTGGTGGCTGCTCATGGTAACCCATGTAGTTGGCGTAGCTGTTATGGGACGGCGTGCCAGGACTGCCATGGTGACCCGTTGGATCGGGCCCTCCAGCCGGATTATACTGACGATGATCGTTGCCCATGTTTTGCTGCGACATGCTGGTGGGCGGTTCAAAGTCCGGATGGTCGACGCTAGGCGACGTCAAAGGCGACGGCTCGAGATTGTTCTCCGACGAGATTGCAGTATTGATTTCCGACGATAAGTCCGAGTGAGTGAACGACAGCGACATGGACTTGGGGCTCTGGCTGTAATGCTGCTGCAAGTGCACAGGGCTTTGCTTCGCGCTCATATTGTACGGGCTATTGTCGTTCATTCCCTGGCCGAAGAAGCCATCATTCATCGTCGGCGCATACGGTGCCATATGCTGGAACTTTGGAGGTGACATCAGTGGTGGCGAAAAGCAGTTCGACACGTTACTATATCCGTCGTTCAAGTGGCCCATCACCTGATGTTGTTGCTGTTGCTGCTCTCTCTCACGATTCTCCCGCTCCATTTGCTTTTGCTGTTGATGGATCTTTTTCGGACGACCGCGACGTTTTTTAATGACCTCGCCATTCGCGTCCAGCTTCTCAGGATCCGGTGGTGGCTGATCCTCTGGATTTTTTATCTTTTTCGGTCTTCCGCGTTTCTTCTTGCCAGGTATCACGCCCGTCTCCTGCTTAATTCCCATGCCGTTGATCTCCGTGATTCGGCTCTCACCGTCGGGCAAATCGTCGGTAAATACTGACTTCTTATCCTCGATCGCTTCGTGTTCCTTCTTCTTGAGTTTTGAATCGGCGAATACGATGTCTGATTCGTCCAAGTGCGTGATCGTACCGTTTAGGTAGTCGCGGAATTTCTTTAGGGCAGCGTAATATGGCACCTTATCAGCAGCACGTGGTAGTTGAGCACACCTCGCGCTGCTTGAGGGCATAACCCACATGTACTGCAATACACAACATCGAAAAGTGAGGATTTTGATTTTCTAAATAATTATATAAGTAAAATTATAAACATTAAAATTTCATATATGTATAATAAATATAAAATAATCACATACATAGTATGTATAGTAATTCAGATTGAATTGATTATTTGACCAGAAAAGAAAGATTTAGCTTTAATCGTTACGGTCATTAATCTTATTTCTTATCATTGAATTTTCAAATGTACGGTCCAGTAAAATTCATTGTATGTAAAATAATTTTATTGAGTTCAAGTGGCATAGTAAAATATAACGAAAATAATTTCTGTTTATTTGTGATAATATATTGTCTGAGATCTACATTCTCACTGAAATTATAGATATAAGAGATCTGTTTTCTGTGGCTGAACTAGTGTACACTTTTGGAACTGAAGAAAGAGTGAGAAAAATTTGATATTTGTCGAAAGCGAGAAAAAGAGTTCTAGTGCAGGCTAGTGCAGAAACAGAAAACAGACCACATTTTTAATATTCTGAGCAACACAAAAAGTAAGTAAAGATGCGTGAAACGTCCGAATATTTTAGAATTCCTTTAAATGGCTTTCCTTGAGGAATTTTTGAATTCTGTGTTACGCAGGATATTTTTTCAGTGCAAGAGCATGAAGAAAAATGTAAGCTATTTTACCGTATTGGTACCCTCGACGAGGTTCGGTTGTCTGCCAAACCCAAATTCCTTCTTTCCCGAGAATACTTCGTATATGAGTTTGCCGTTGAATACTGCAATTTTTGGCTTATACTTTCGTAATTTCTCGAGTAGAATGTGACTACCTGCAAAATAAAAACAATAATTAATGTAAATATAATTAATACAATTATAAGTAAATATATTACAATTTGATATATAATATTGATAATTAACAACCAAATGAAAAGGAATTAAAGTAATCGATTAACACATAAATAAATAGTACTTGTTATCTCTTTCTCTTTAATATTCTTTTTTACCTCTAATATATTTTAAAACTTTAAAACAAATTCAATTAAATTCAAATTTTATAGCATAGACAGTACATTTACGCTTGCCTATAATTACCCTAACTTATAAATATAGACATTATTACATAAAGTCATTGATTACAGATTACACCTATCGCTCCTCTTTATCCTCGCGTTCATTCGTAAATGCTATTTATATCATGCAATTCATCCATTCTATATATTTTTGTAAACGAGAGAGAAATTATCGCGTTGCAATTTAATAAAAGAGTACTTAGTAATAATAATTAAAGATATCCTCTATTACGAAAGACGTAACAATCGAATAACGTAAAGTAAACGAAACGATTTCTGCACGGTATAAACGTAAGTACAGATGCGACTGTAATTGTCTCAATTACAGAAATTAAGTCATTCTGGAATTATGCAGTTACTCAAGATTCTAATTCATTCATTTCTGTATTCGCATTGTTTTTGACTGATCGTAGCAGGACATATCGTAAATAGAATTTTTTTTAAATAAAATTTTAGTAGAGGGGAATATAATAAATTTACACAAAATTTATTAAGTTACTTACGTAAAAGAAGTGTGTTAAGGAATATTAATGTAAGCCAGGCATTGGTCAATAAGTATAAATATGTTCATAGACAACATAAAATTTAAAATCAGGATATAAGACATCTTTAACGTCTGGCTTTTTATTATCTGATTAACTTGTAGTTTTACTCAGTTTAGACTTAATTTGATGATAATATAAAAGTGTTTTTTCAGCTATGATTAATTAATGGATTGATAGTTTTGTAATGATAACTTAAAAAAAAATCATCAGTTTAGTGATTAACCGTAGTGAAAAAAATAAAATTTTTCCATTATCTGGTTAAGTCTAACCATAAGTTCATCAGAAAATGAAAAACGTTCATTCCTATCAACATACATTAACTTTAATTTCGGTTTAACTTATTTTTTATCATCTTCTAATTCTAAGAATTAAAAAAGGATAAATAAAGAAAACTAAATAAACCCGAGATCGAAGTTAATCTATTGATAGAAATAAATCTTGGAAGCCTTTTAGAAGGTTCTCGCAAAATGTCTTTTCGACGTCTTACATCTCGATTTAGATTTTTTATTGTTTGAGTTAATTTTTTGTCGTAAAAATGATTTTTATAATTCAATTGTTTGTTTCTCGAATTTAGAGGGAGAGGAGAGCGACGCCTTTTGAAACTCATGCAGGACCTCCATTACATTCGCATTCCTTTTCGTATTTTCCAAGTGTTGAAAGTATCGATACGCATGTCGGTTAATAGGATACGCGAGTCAGTGTTATTTAAATACATAGTTGGTGACCAGCCGTTATTAACTAATCTCATTTGAAGTGGTGAGAAAAGTGTTCGACCTCTACTCCGCTTTTATACTTCCGGCCATTAATTTATCGGCTACTTTATTTTAGTGGGACTTGACGTTTGATGCTCCACCGGATGACTCCAACTTCTCGCGAAAAAAGAAGAGACGCAATTTTCCTGAAATACGGGGACATCGCCGATGAATAGTTTATTAGCTATTAATTATTACTGTTCTCACCCGCTCCTAATAAATAATACGACGCTCTTTTCTTTTCAAGACTGCCTCAATTTTCAGTTCATTTTCTTTCGGAGTGAGACTTACTCCAAATGATTTACAGAGTACAAATACAAAATACCGCATGTATTTCACCGAACCATGTGGTTATAGGATTTAAAAATGAAATCAGTGGCGTCGCGCATCTCTCTAATGATAAGCAAATCAAAGTCCGTCGGTAGGGCGACATTTTCGGATGGATGGAGGGGTCTACATCGCTTTCGGCAGGGCGATACGCGACACGCGTGTTGCGATATGCCTTTAAGAGCGAGCGGAGCGAGCGGCCGATAAAGTTGGCAGTACTGCCGCTTCCCGCGTCGCGTACACGCATGGCCGCTATGTCGAAGTAATCGGTCCGTTAAAAAACGTTTCGAGGACTGCTGCGGGATGGAAGAAGTGAGATACGACGCTTCGTACGAGCGTGAGTGCGTCGACACGATGAGATGGACCGCGACGTCCATCGAGGAGGACGACCGGCTCCAACATGGGTACGCGATGGACGATCGACGATACGGTGAGCACCCTTCGATCATGATCCACGAGCTTGTGTTCCTTTTCACCGATGCCGTGTAACGGCGCCGTTTGCTATTGTCACAAATGGCGCCGGTACATCTTTTTCCGGTTAGTTACATTGCTGCGATAATATCGCGGTGGATGTCGTTCATAAATGTATCCAAGTCCCTTCGAAAGAGATCGATCGAGATTGAGATACATTGTGGCAAGACGCTTGCCGTGTACGATGAATGAATGTTAACGTTCGAGCCACTCCGTCGAATTTCAGAGATAAATTGGAAAATTTTTTGTTTCCATGCGGCGCGTGGGAAAAGCGATTAGAGCTGTTATTCCGGAAAGAAACATGGAGGCATTCGCACACACGGTTCGCTCGGCCCTAACCTGTTGATGCAACCGGCTTTTATCTCATTAGCATTGTTATGTTTACTTTTATCTGCTTGTACGTCGGTTTTGTACTGTTCCTTTCTTTTTCATGGATATCGCGGAATATAAGTTCACTTCACTCTGGATATGCGTCAGCAAAAAGGAGTTAAAGATGGATTATGAAGACTTGTTCTAGACAGTGAATCTGTTAATTAATTCAATTAATGAAATGATCGTTTAAGAGAATTAAAATAGTCAAATAAATTTGAATGTATCTTTCTATCGAAAAAAAAAAAAAATCAATTTTTTAAAGTCTCGGTTCGCAAGGTATCGTGTGAAACGCCCTGTATATGCGATAACCCCACCATTTATACTCCGTACCTTCTACCAATGTAATTTTAACCTTCAACTAACTTTTCATGTTTTTCTAATTCTAAGGATTAGAAAAAGACAAAGAGTAAGACCGGTCTTCGTAGCCAATTCTTATATTCAAGTACAGCCTTAAAATATCATAAGTCAATCGAAGGGCTTTATTAGCATCTAAAGATTTTATTTATTGTCAATTATTTTCCTCATATTCGATTGATTAATTTCTTACAGCTTAAGTTTTAAAATTTAAAAAGTTTAAGATTTACACCTTAAAATCTCATTGTAGAGCTGCTTAAGATGACCTTATAATAAGGATGAACTATGAATACTACCCTAAGTTTAACCGAGGTTAAAGTTAATCTAGATTGGTAGAAATGGGCATTAGGCGTTTTTATGAATGTCAGTAAAACGATCTCGCATCGATATGTCGAAACTTTCCCCACTCGTGGCATCGCGTCTATTGAATTCGGCCTGACGTTAGTAAGAGACGGATGTTTCTCCTCCGAACGAGAGGAACAAAGACTACAGCACACAAAAAACGTAAGGCATAAGCGAATCAGCCAATCACAGTAGAGATATAAGGCAATAATGTAAAGCAGCGTCGAATCAATGGACTTTCAACACTTGACCAATCATAGTCAATTATTTTTCTCACATTCGACTGCGATTAATCAATTTCTTACGACTTTATTATTTAGATTTAAAGCTTAGTAGGTTGTGGCTTATTGTAGAAAGCCCATAGAAATGTCGATTCGCTTACTGCTTAATTGCTTTGATTGGTTCACTTTCTTATGCACTATGCGTTATGTAAGCCTCTATATTCTCGCTTCTTTATTACACACACATGGCTGCTCGGAAAACACGTAACTGTATAACACGTGTAACAACGTCTTTTTTTGGCATAAATTCCGCAACGTGAGAATTTTTGGGTCGCGTTTATTTATTTAAAATTCAATGCATTCGATGAGATTCTCATTTCACATTTTTAAGATATATTCGAAGCAAGAGTGTACCCCGAAACTTCGAACGAAGGGTAGAGTACGAATAAATAAACTTGAGCGAGACCGAAGTTTACGTCGTGAGCACGCATTGCACCGTTAAAAGAAAAAGAGAACACTCCTTACGTTCCAGCGATTTAGATAATTCACCCTGGATGCCTCTCACGCACTTATCTCGCGATTATTTCTTTAACCCGTGCTTCCCATGCTGTGATTGTGCGTATCTCTTCCGAGATTTAGCACGGGTCTTCTCGGAGCGACGTTTACAGTCTTACAGTCGAAATCGTACTGATTGTTTGAAGTATACTGGAGTTACTACTACCTAAGCTAGAGATACTATAGACCTCTAAACTGCAAAGAAAACTACCTAAGCAAAACAACAAAGAAAGCGCTGCGTCACGGTAGGATTTGTAGGTTTCGTTTACCAGAACCATAGTTGAAACGTCGAATACAAATACGCCATTGAACTTCTTACTTAAGCGGCCAATCACAATTGAGAACATTCGAGCAAAATAATAGCGATCGAATAGTTCGCTTACCGTTAAAGCCACGTTGCTTTCTTGAAATTTTCTCGAATTTCATTAGCTTTCTCAGTTGCTTTAGGACAATCATTTCGAAAGCTTATCAATTTATAGGATATGTATTTGTAAACATCTCTCGGTTATTTTCTGTTTTTAGAATATTTGATAATCAACAAAGGGCTGTGTCATAACAACTATCCGGTACTGATTCGAATTTCCTCGAAGTACAGTGAGAGCAAAAATTCGTGTAAGGAAATTTTTGCTTATTAAAAAAAGTCTTATTTGTAAAAAATAAACATTAATTAGTCATTTTATATAATGAATATATTCTGTTCTAACATAAACAAACAAGTTTCGCATTCCTGTATTTCTGATTTTAGAAGTTAAATTTCTGGACTGTACGAATATTTTAAGCATCCAAACAATAGAATTTTTAATTTTCGCTTATTTTTCAGATATATTTTCTATAATTAATACACGTCTTTTTGGTATATATAATTTTAAGAAACATACAGTCTATTTTATTCTTTATCAATAAATTGTTAATTATCCAGCAAGAAATGATTATCGAATCGACGTTGAATTGGTGTTCAAAATCATCGATTCGACATAAATTCGATGATTCATTTCTTACTGGATAATATTTACTTTTTAAAAATATTTTCTCTGTACGAATACTTTTTGCACTCGCTATATGTTGTCAAACAGCAATATTTAAGAGGCACATATATGTTCTTTCTTATCGGCTTATTCTCAGATTTAAGAAGTGAAACAACTTTCCAAAACTTTTTGTGTTTAATAATATATTTCAAAGAGAATCGGTTCCAGATAATCGTGATACAATCTTTGTGAGATATTAATTGATGTTGATGATGAAAATTTAAAAACATGTGTCTTTGAATTTTTTGAATTTCTTTTCAATTATTTCAATAGATACATAAAATATTACAATTCTAACAATTAAATCATTGTTTCCTCCTTGTTTTTTAGAAGAATTTTCAAAAGAATTTTCGAAAGTTTCAATAATTGATTGTCCAAGATTCATTGGCATTGTATTGATGTACATCAATGACCCTTGTCTTCCTTTTTTTTCAATAGAAAAAGGAAAGTAATAGGCGTGAATGTCAACATTATTCCAGTAGGGATAACATTCGTCAAAGGCACATGTTGGCCATGTCGTTTTAGAGCCGACTTTAATGGAAATAGAAAAAGGAAAACAATAGATGTAAACGCCGATGCATGTCAGGTCAATGTTCCGAATTACAAATTTGGAATAAACCGTTTTAAAAGAAAAATCGAGATGACTAAAGAATTAATTAAAAAAATCAATAGGAACTCTGTATATAATTAATCGTTACAAAAATAACTTCATAAATTTTAAGAATGTTTTCATTTCATGTCTCAAATGCTTATTACATCGAAATTGTAGAGTTCAAATTCATAAATATTAATCGGACCGATACATATCCTATCTTTCGATTTTTTTATATAATAAAATATAAATATTATGATAAAATATTGTATAACGTGAATATAATACAAAGTTCAAATTAATTTTCCCGTAAATTATGTCGGGGCGATATCGGCTTATGCAATAATTATTTTCGACCGAGATTTCGTAATTATCTCATCGCTCGTTTCGAACATACTAAAAGCGTTCGACATACTGACCTTCTTTAATTTCCTTTCTTGTAAGATCTGCGCTGCCTTTCGTCGCACGTGCTACCATATTTGTAAAGCCAATACCGAGTCGCAAAAGTTTGTAATCGTCGTCCGCAGTCAATGGTTCGGGCGTGAGACCACTTAGATGTAGGCATTTCCCTGAAAAGAGAAGCACAATTACTTAACTGCATAAATTAATACTAAGAACTTAATGATCGCGTCCTCACGATCATAATGAACTTCATTACTCCGTGTAGTAAAGTATTAATTTGTGAATTGATCCTGACCTATTAATTTAAGATTCACAAGCAAAATTAGACTTTCAAATTAAATGCTTGATAAATTATTAAATTTAAAATGGTTTCCCTTGCATTTTTCACATCTTGCAGTAATTGTGGCTACGAAAAAAAAAAGATGAAATTATTATCGTGTACAATGGAGCATGTTACATCGTTGAAACGCATCGCCGAAACGCATGGTCGGCTTTTAAAAATTTTAATGAAATCGACGTCCGTGATATTATGTGATCCATTTTTAATTTTAATTGCATAACGTTAAGCATTAAATTGCTTACTTGTGGCGCCATTATAACGAAACGTATAATTGCAGTCGTCGCATGAACGGCCAAATGACTTCGCAAAGCTATTGTTCCGCGCGAAATACTCCGTATTTTGTTAATAGGCCGCGCTCGACTATTTATATCCCATTAAATAAACGATCTAAATTTTCTGATAGGCATAATAAAGCCTCGCCCTGGCGGAGGCTTTCGCGCGGAGATAATGGAATTGTTAGAACAGAAGCGCGCAGCGTGTCTATTGTAATAGAAATGACAACCATTGTTGTTTCCATTGTCGATGGTACCGCGCTGGTATCGTTTTGCCCGGATTATACTAAAATCATCGTGAATTTCATCATTAAAGTTTATTACACACTTGAGACATATTTTAATCCGATTCACCTTTTTTTTCTTAATTTCAACTTAATCGAAATATTTTAATCGAAGCAATAATTCAAATTAATTTTCTTCGTCATCCAATTTTCTTAAATAATCTATTGTCGAATTAATTCTACAAGATAGCAGTTTTAATTATTTGTGAAGTATTGATGAAATTATTGATATTCCATTATTAATTTACTATTATTACACGGTAAAACTGGGTGATATCCATTTTAGGATATTGTAAGATCACTTGTTTTAATTTTGATCTATTGCGGATATAGAATAAATGCGGAAAGAGAGAAAGGAAAGCTCAGAGAGAGAGAGAGAGAGAGAGAGAGAGAGAGAGAGAGAACTATTTCATGAAGATATATAAATTAATCTCGTGCAAGATGTACAAACGATTAGCGGTTGACCGCTTGAATGTTGCAACAGCGACGAGCGTCAATTAGCGCCGCGAATCGCAAATTTCCATTGTATAAATAATAAATAGCGCGTATAAATAGCGTACAAACAGCGGTAAATCGTACGGACGACAATTCGTTCTAAATATTGACGTATGAATGCTTGGTAAACGCGCGCGATCGTTTATTTCGTATCGCGAAAAGCAAACACGGCGCTTAACGTAACGTATAAAAGGTATTCGCACCGGTTTTTGCCGCGGTTATGCAGATCGGCAGTGCGTGCGAAAAGTTCAAACGCTCGTTTTTACGGCCGTACGAATGAGCAGCTAAGTGCTCGTTGTCAAGTAATCCCCCGGGGAGTTTTGTTTTTGACATTTCCGCGAAACTGTATACTGCGTTATCGCAACAATTTAACGGGCAAATAATACTTTGTCGGCGGATCAAGCTATAGAACCGATAGAAAAGGATTAAACGCGGAGTTTAGGTCAGACATGGGTCGATCGATTTTTTCTACTTTGCCACATAAAATTGGATTATGAGTTCGCCTTGTGTCACGTCCGTGCAACTAGAAATAATAGCTTGTCGTTTGTAGAGGTTGATTTGCCGACTATACGAGTGAATTATTTACGCGTTGAAGTCTCACTTCGTTAATCCCTTTCTGCGTCACACTTTGTCACAGAATTGATCGTCTTGCTAATCGTGTATTATAATCAGTTCGAGGTTATATCTTAATCCTATGGTAATACTAAAATACATGCAGATAAATACATACAAAGATAAAAATTCATGTAAGAGAATATTTCCTGTAGATTAGCACTTTATGTAGATGAATATCTTTTTCTATACTAATGTCTAAATAAAAATGTGTAATTAAATTTTATTAATTAAATATCCGGTATAGGGTTTTAATCGGCCCAGTAAAATGGTATTGGCCCAGTCATTTAACAGTGATAGCCAAAAGCTGGTTGACAGAAGACCTTGGCCGTCAGTCGATAATAGTTGGTTTTGTTGTAATTGCTGTCGATCCTACATGGGATATTAAAAAACCATCACAGAAAAATTTTCGTTTTTTTTACAGCATCTAAAATAAAGTTTTCTATTATTGTATGTGGCTGTGTTTAAAGGGACTTTAAAAGAAGTTAATAAAAAGGTTCATAAATTAAAATATTCTTCCGCGTTTACGTCACATTGATAATAAATTTATTTACCGAAAGCCACAACCGCTGAAGCAATAAACGTTGCTCCTCCTCGTTCACGCGAGAGAAAAGAAAGTGGGGCCAGATAAATCTTTTGCGCTCTCGGCGGTACAGGTACACGGACACTCACACGTGTTCGCATACACGTGGGGATGAGACAACATCCCAGTGGCGCGAAATTACAATCGTCGCCAAAGTCTATTCCGCGAACATTTACCTCCAGGCAGCAGATAGAGATTTATGACGCGGCCTCGGGAAATTCTCTCTCGCTGCTTTACTCCAGTGGCACCGACCTACAACGGGCGCACCGCGCCGCGCCGGCACGACCTTGGAGAACTTCGGAACAAAGTTAAACGCTCGTCCGCGGCCGTTGCACGCTTTCCGGCACAACGTGCCCGACCTCCAAGTCCACGGGAAAAGACACGAACCGCACGTGTGTGTAATGCCGGTTCCACATTGTGGAGTCATGACCCGAGTGAAGTCTTTTCGAGAATAATACATTTATGCATAATTAGCATAAATTTTGGATGTAGGTAAAGAAGAATTTAAACGTCCAACGGACGTGTAAAATCTAATTTTTCTGAGGGAGGTGTATTTTTGTAAGAAAGTTTTTTGTCATCAATTTTTACGTCTTATTATCCACACATTTCTTCTTTTTCTTTGAGAATTCGTGCATACATACATACATATATATATATATATATTTTTTTTTTTAAAGCAAAATGCTCAGGTTATTGGGCGAGTAACGTTCGCGAACTTTCGTATGAACGTAGTTTAAAGCTTGTCATGGCAAAGGGGCCATAAGAAGGAGACTAACGGCCGATCGAACAAACTTTATCGGGGCGAAACGCGACCCTCCTCCGTCATTCACGACGCTAACCTAACCCAACTTGACTTCGCTCGACCTTCCCGCTTAAACACGCTTTATGGTATTTCGAGCGAGGGTGTGAAAAGTGTGTTTTCTCTCCTCCTCCTCCCCCTCCCCCTCCCTGTACGTCAATGGAAAGCAAATGCACTCGTTCCCGTGTCGCGGATCGTCCATAAATTACGACTTGTCTCTGATATGGACGTAATCGGGATGGAATTCTACGCGAACCCAAACGTGAGACTTTTATTTTTTTAGAGTTGGGAAATTATGGTAATTTATGAGAAATTCGTGGATTCACCGAGCGAGAAAAAATAGCTAAGAACTTCTCCCGCGGGTATATTCTTTGTGAATAACGTCTCTATGAAATAATTTCCGTCATTCAAATGTTATCGCGAAAGCTGTTGCTGTTTTTGAAAATTTTTGCTACTACATAATCTGCTAATATGGTTGGTGATATCAGAATTGGTAATACCGGGTATTGGTTTCAAGGATTTAATTTTTTTTTAGTATGAAAAAAATATGTAAAGAATATAAATTTTTAAAACATCTGATAATGCCGTTAAAAGTAGAAATAAAATACCGAAATGTATACGTCATAAATATTAACATCAATGCAAATATTTTTCTGTAATATGGAACCATTGTTTCCGCAAATAATTTACGTATATATTTTTACTGTAGTATATTTTTATTAATGGATATCTCTGAACCGCGTGCAACTTGATATATAATCGATGTGCAATATGTGAAATCTAAAGATAATATTTCCAATCTACAAAACCGAAAATATCCGAATAATTAATTTCAGTATGATCTCATTTAGTATCACAAATTAATCACATTATTGATATTCGCTGACAGTCATAGGAAATATTAGCTGCAATTCTCCATAAATCTCAGCTCTCTCTATAAATTTGCGTATCTCTATATATATGCATTAACATGTACATTATCATGTACGATTTAATCATCTGAAATACATCTTTTATGCGATAGCCGGAAAAAATAGTTTTCTTTCTGAGAAGGAAGAAAAATCTATAGTTTTCAATTAGTTCTTTCAAACAGTAGACGTTAAATCGTCGTCGTAGACTAAATAGACTTCTAAAGATGTTTGCAACAAGTATTTCTCAGCATGATTTCTCAAGTTTCGTTATGTTGCGACGAAACAGTCAAAACTCCGGACCTCTGAATTGTGTTAACTTTTCGAACTTTTGGACTTGAAGGCCATCGTAGTATGTTCTCCTTAACTTTGCGTTATAGAATTCCGGACATCGGAGAGAACGCAACAGGATTTTACTTATCGCAGTTTTCTTTTCACCCGTTCCTACTTCTTTCTCCAGAGGTCTCGTTCTCGGTTACGAAAGGCACGACGAACAACACTCTTGGGGAAGAAATATTGCCCTTGATATTTTTCTAATGCGCGGAGACTCGACCTTCTCTCCTTCATTTCGAGACAACGGTAACGATGCGCGAGGGAACCGCGGGGATCTCGACTATCATTTAGCGCGAAAATGCACAGTTTATTATCTAAATGGCTGTTAACTCGTTGCGTGGATCGCTCGTAGTCGTGTAAGATTTTTGTAACAGCGGTAAAATAAATTATCGCAACTTTTCCCTTGACACTTCTGTCATCCCTTCCATCGTTTCTTCCGAGTCTCTTTGTCAGATAAGATAATAGTTTTTGTTAGATGTTCATTACGCTAAATAATTAGAAATAGTGCGTCTGCGAAGTCGAGCTGTTATATTTTACACTA